TCGTGATGGCAGTGTGTGTGTGTGTGTGTGTGTGTGTGTGTGTTTGTGTGTGCGCGTGTCTGTGTGAGTGAGTGTGTGTGTGTGTGTGTGTGTGTGTGTGTGTGTGTGTGTGTGAGGAGACGCAGGCCAGCGGGAGGGAGATGGACGGTCAAACGTGTTTTCCACCGAGTTATCATAAGCGTGAGGTTTCTGCAGTCCTGCCGTGACTTGGCCTTCACTTCTGTTTCCAAAGTCAGCGCTATGATTCACTTTCTGTCCCGTTTTAGCGTTGAAATCGCTGTGCGTAATGAGTTGTGTACAGTAGCATGTGCGCATCAGTCTTATTTTAGTATCACTGCCATATTATTATAGCTTTTTATTTTTTATTTTTTTTAAATAGTTAAATTTAAAAAAAAGTTTTTGGTCATTTTGTTGTCTTTTTGTCATTTTTGTTGTCTTTTTTTAAACATATCTATATAGATTTATTAATTTTAATTTTAGTTATTTTAGCAAGTCATGTTCAAATAAAAGTGAGAAATGTTGCCTTGGTAACTAGCTTAAAATAAGTTTAAGTTTTTGTATGTTTTATGTCAGTTAACATTTATTTCAAGTAACATGTTTTATGGTTTTAGTTTTAGTTAACAATAATACCACTATTAATATTTTTTATTTTATTTTAATTTATTCTTTGATTTTTTTCAAACATCCTCAAATGCTTACTAACAAAAAATCTCAGAATTTGTCAAATATGTTGGTTAAATCAGATGGCGTACATGATAGAAAAATTATAATAATTAAATAAAGACATATATACAAGGTTGTTTTCCATGTCCGAATTATACATCATTTTCCTCTACACCGCAATGCAAAAACAAAACAAAACAAACATATACACAAAAAGTGTATTATATCAAATATTGTATAATACGCTGTACTAAGAATGTGATTTATTTACTCCAGTGTGTCCATGTCCAGTAATGTATGTTGGGAAGCATTTAAATACACAGGTATTGAAACAGTGATGGAGATATCCAACATCAAGCAACATCAAACTCTTACATAGACAATGTCTCATTTGGGCTTAAATGAGGATTTTAATCTCTCATCTTTTTTTGTGATTTTTTCCCCCTTTCTTTCTTGGACATAATATTTATGAACTGCATTTTTGCCTGACATGTCATTGTTGCCACTATTATTATTTGTTTCAGATAGAACTGAACTGCAGTGTGTGGACTAACTGTTTTATTATAAACACAAGATCATACTCATTGCTTTGTATATTCAATTCAATTCAAGTTTATTTCAGAGAATTCTGTAAAGCTTGTAAAGCTAATTCCTGAGAAGCAGTGAATTGACTGGTTGACAGCGAAACATTTGCTATATTGTTTAATCACCTGCTTCAATTAAATAAATAATATTTAGAGTGATTTTTGTATTTTTTTTTAGATAACGATTATAACCCTGGTGCATGTGTGTTTTATTTTAGCGTGAACGACTCACTGTATCTCCTTCTTGTCCAGCGGTGCCGTTCATCGGTGGAGTCATGTCCACCTCCACACTCGAGCTGTTTGGCAGATTTTTATCTGTAACACAAACAGAAAGGTAATAAGTCAAGTGTGTTTGTTTTTACTAAATGTCCAGATTATGCAAATTAACCACATACTGTACATGCAAAAGTCCCCACATAAATCCTTCTAAGGCAGATCTAGCATACTGTAGTCTTTAGCCGCTGTTTTTTTTTTCAGAACCTCACGCTATGAGCGCCACATTTGTAGAATGTAGAAGGTTACTTTACCAGGCCTAACTTCCCAGATATTTCCATTCAAGCCCTCACAAATTGACCTTTATATAGTACAGTATTTACAGTTTTTTTAAGGTATCTGAAAGATTAGCACATTCTAGCCATGTATATGTATATGTCTAAAAAAACACATTGTATTATCACGGTAGGTTTGTTAATGGAGAAATACTGGCAAAAATGGAGTAGATGGGTTTGAAAGGGTTAAATAGGTTCTGTGTTCACATCAAAGAAGCTGCTCTCAACCGCCCTGCTTTTGATGCTAATATGCTAATATGGAACTGTTAGCATAATTTCCCACTTGAAATTGAAAGTCCATGTGTGTCTTCAACACAAACAGTATTATAGGATTAAGTTATATTAAGATACTTCCTTTCATTTCTATAAAGTGCACAAGCAATTGTAACCTTAAGGAGCTTTTTGTACCTGATCAAATTGGAAAAAGATTGGAAAAAGCTGGTTCTTGTTCACTCCATCAATTGATTTAACATGCAATGGCACATTTAACAGAACTAGACAAGGTTCAGTACATCATTTGAAGTGTGAAGTTACTTTACCACTTACCAGCAACTCCATTTGAGTCCTCCACCTGGCATTTCTTTTTGGCAATTTTGTGAAGGATGGACGCCTTCTCGCGGAATTTTCCTTAAAACAAAATAGTCCAGAAAAACTGTGAGTGATTTGGAGTAACCAATTTTCCCAGCTAAGTGAGCATGTTTCATTTTACTCACTAGATATGAAAAAACTGTACGCCTGTAACTGTAAGTAAAGCATGTTAACCTACTGTACGTCTCTTGTGAAAAATAAGTGTGCTTAATATTAAAAAGTTTTTTTTTTAAACTATGCTTGTAGATAATATTCACTTTCATGACACTTTCTGTTTCTTAACACACTTTTTAAAAGAGCACTTCGTAATAATGTCAAATGAAACATTTTAGTGCTTTAAAGCACACTTATGTGTTGACTAACATACTAAAGCACATTTAAAGTACTTGATTAGAATATTTTACTTCGATTTCACCTTTAAAATTAATATGTTTTAAATGTAATTTACTAGATTGCTATTCACTACAAATGTGAAGTTTCAAATATATTTGAATGTCTGACATACAAGTTTAATAGAAATTATTTCAAAGACAATAGAAGTAACTATGAAATTACATAAAAAGATGTACTTAAGTCATATTTAAGTGCATCAAAATCACTCTAAAGTTCAGCAAAATGCATCTGATATAAATTTAAACTATAATACATTTCCATTTAATTGCAATAAACAAGCAATTAAGTGTCTACAAAAACATTACATTAAGTTCACACTTAAGTATGTTCTTTTAAAGTATTGTCATCACATCGTAACTACTCCTTTAGCTACAGTGTACTTCTGTTTCACAAGGTTACCACTGTGCACACTGTAAAAAAAATTCCGTAAAATTTACGGTAAAAAAACGGCAGCTGTGGTTGCCAGAATTTTACTGTAAAAAATACGGTAGCAATGTTTTAGGTTTTACAGTTTTAACTTAAATTTACAGTTAAATACCGTAATTTCATTAACTGGTATAATGTTAATATATCAACCTATTGAAGTACTGAAATCTGTTTTGTACCTTTGTAATACACTGATAACCACCAAATGCAGGTGGTGATGAGAAAGTCACATGATGAACCAAAGCCCATCGCAAGCAGCTTTTAAATAATAACATATATAGAAGGCCCACAGTGTCATTCACACAAACACTAAACACCATCATGGTAACACACATGAAACTGAAATAATGCAATATTTACAGTCTTTTACCGTTAAATTCACTGTCATTTTTTACAGTGCAGTATTCACAGATACCAAATAGTTTAAATGTATATAGCTACATTAACCTTAGTTTGCAAGTGAGCCCTGAAGTAATAACACTTAATGAATATGTTTTAATGAAAGTAGTCACTCCAGCACGTGTCATAAACAGTAACACCCTTAAACTGCAGGCGCGTTTCCATTACAGATTTGCGCAAAACTTTGGCGATATATCATAAATGTCGATAAAAAAAGTATTGCGAAATGACGGCGTTTCCATTAACCAATGTTATGCTGGAGAGCAGCCACATATGAAGTGTTTCTTGGAGGTTATAGTACATTGAAGAATGATCATGACTTTTTACATACACCATGTGACCTGTAAATGCGGAAAAAAAAACCGTTACATATAACGTTAATATATTACTTTTTCGAATTGCCTGAAAAACCACCTCATGCGAGCGTAAAAACTTTTTTGCGATATACTGTATGGGAATTTTTGCAAAATTTACGCGTTTCCATTAGGCGTATTTTCAATTCGCAATTTGAAGGGTAATGGAAACGCAGCTTGCATCTATGTTCACTATTTAGCACTGCCTCTTGTAACTTAGTGCTATACCAAATACCATTTCACCTTTAATGCAACCTTCAAACCAACAGCACAGTAAACACAGATGCTTGCCGCTGGTTTAAGAGATTAGAGACAAAGTCTATAACTCAGCATGATGAGAGCAGCACCAGACCCACGAAGCAAACATCAATACAGTTGCACAACCTTTCAGGATCCATCAACGTGGAAGTAAAATCTCAGGCGGTCACACACAGACAGCAGCAGCGTGTTCCTGTCTCGTTCTGTGTGTGTTCGAATTAAACCACATGTGCAAAAGCTTGCATTAAAGCAATGAACATAATGTGTGGTGGGTTGGTCTCACTTCACTAATGGAAAGCATCGTGATCAGTGAATGTCTTTGAGCTTCCTGAGGAATCATTGACTCTGATTGGCTGGTAGACAGACTGTCCTGTCTGGCTCGATCGGTGCGGTGACCCCAATCAACACGCACATGTATGTTACGTGACCTACATATCATTAACACGCCTGGAACGTCTGGGATATAAAGTTGCTTTGGAGTTTGAATTAAGTACACTGTAAAAAATGATTGTGATTTTAACAGTAAAAGACTGTAAAAATGCTACAGTAAAAACCTGTTAACTGGTTAACAGTAAGTTTCCATACTATATACGGTGAATAAATGTAATTACATTTAATGTAATTTTACAGTAAAATACTGTAAAAAATATGTTTTTTGGAAGTGAAAAAGAAAACGTCATTGTATATTTTACAGTGAAAAACCGTAAATTGACACTCCCAGAATTCCCTGCATGACACTTCATATTTGATGTTTTTTTTTTGTTGAAATAGCATGTTTCTTCTTCGTTTTTTCTTATTAGATGTGTACATTAGGGTTTAATCTTACATCTAATGTTGTTGAATTAATGTTTATTGCATTATTTCAGTTTCATGTGTCACCGTTATGGTGTTTAGTGTTTGTGTGAATGACACTGTGTGAAACCTTCTATATATAAGAACTACCCTTTTCATCTCGTAGAAAAGCTGTTTGTGATGAGCTTTGGTTCATCATGTGACTTTCTCATCACCACCAGTTCAAAACAGATATTAACACTTCAATATGTTGGTTTATTAACATTACATCCGTTAATGAAATACAGTATTTTATTGTGAATTTAAGTTAAATCTGTAAAACCTAACATGTTGCTACCATATTGTTTACGGTGAAGTTCTGGCAACCACAGCTGCCGGTATTTTACCTTAAATGTCACAGATTTATTTTTTACAGTGTAGGTTTGTGGTGTAGCAAGGATAGTTAGTAGTCAGGACAGTCCCTTGTGAAAAGAAGTACTCATAAAAAGAGTACTTATTACAGAAATAATATACTTTAAAAGAATATACTTACGTGCAAAATGAATGTTAATGTTTTCAGACAGTTGCATGTTAAATACAATTAAATTTAAATGTATTGTAGTATAAGTCTATACTAAATGCAATTCGCTGAACTTCAGAGAGTGTTTTTTGACCTACTTAGGACTTAAATAAATCTGTATATGTAATTTCATAATTACTTCTATTGTCTTTTAAATATGGTTAAAGTACTGCTGAATGTACTGACAAGCATTTATGATCAACTAAAATATACTTTCATGTAATTTCTATTAAAACCTATTTAAATGTGTCATGTACTTGTTATTATAAATAACATACTTTAAAAAATATATTCTTAAGTGCAAACTGAATGTAATGATTTCAGACAATTTTGGAATTAAATGCATTTAAATGAAAATGCATTATAGTTTACATTTATATTACATGCAACATTAGAGTGATTTTTGACTCAAATAGGACATAAGATCTTTATAATTTCATAATTACTTTTGTTGTCTTCAAAAGTTAAATATATTTGCTATTAAAACACTTTGCAATGCTGAAAAAGCTGCAACTTAATTAATTTAAAATATATTAACTTGAAACGTAATATTGAATAATACACTACAGTTAAAATTATAATCAAGTTCTTTACATGTGCTTTAGTATGTTAGTCACCACATCAAAATAAGTGTACTTCTTTAAAGCATGACAGATGTATTAAAACATCATGTTATGTCAGTATCTGCTGTACTGTTATATAGATCTCATTGATTTACATTAAAAGCATCAGAATTTCATCTTAATTGTATCTTATAAATATCAGCATCTGCAGCATTTTTTTCTCTGAATACAATTGAGCTGCTTTTAACTCCATATTCTCACTATATCAGATAATATGAGCCATAAAAGCCTGATGTATCAAATGTGATATTCAAACACAAAAATAGAAAACACAAATACAAAAAAACAAAATGCAAACCGTTTGTCTAAAGGTCCAATAACACTTTAATTTAAAAATAAATAAATAAAATATAGTTTTACTATTATTTCATATGTCAGGCTTTACAGTGATAACTCTAAATATTTTACTATTTTACTTCAAATATTTTCTGATCATGAATTTATATATATATATATATATATAAATCTCTTATAAACAAACAAGAACAAACTTACAAAGAACAACCAAAAAAAAAAAATAAATAAATGGAAGGGATGAAAGAAAACAACCATGAAAATTCCAAATGATACTAAATTAGGGATGAAAACCACGATTTGCACTTATGTGAGTGAAATCTCGGCAAGAGGGCCATGAAACTAAAAATGGAGAAGAAACCTCTCTCTCTCATGCACGCATGAACAAACGGCATCGTGGGTAGAGAGACGAAGCAGAACGAGAGAAACATGAGGGTTGACGGAAAGAGTCTTACCTTCCTCGGTCATTGAGTGATAATATTTTAGCTTGCCATAAGTCCCCAGCTCTACAATATCACACACAGAGACAAGGGTAAGGAAACACACGCTGGCACATGTACACCAGCACAAAGACACACACACTCACTCACACACACGTATAAGTGTCAGTGAGAACAAGGAGGTGATGTGGTCAAAATAAATCTCTCTCTAGACCGATCTCACAGGCATAAGTGCAAAAAACTGAACAAAAAGACAAAGAGGAGGAGAAAAAAAGCCTTACATTGAGATGAACACTGTGAGTGATGTGTCATGATGCACCTAAAAGTTTACTTTATTTGATCAAAAACACAATTAAAAATGTGAAATATTATTACCGTTTAAAATAACTATTTTCTATGTTAATACACATTAAACTGTAATTTATTTCTGTGATGCGCAGCTGTATTTTCAGCATCATTCCTCCAGTCTTCAGTGTCACATGATCTTCAGAAATCATTCTAATATGCTGATTTGCTGCTCAACAAACATTTCTGATTATTATTATTACAAACAGGTTGATAGATTTGCATGCCAATCAGACTCATTCTTCCCATCTAAGTGGGCATAATCTGCTATTCTCAACCCAAGCAAAGTCAATTTTCATAGCATTTTCATTTTACTGTTGTTGAAGTGTAGCCTCGATCTGACTGCTGATTGGCCGGTGGTTAGAGGTCACTCTGTCATGAAAAAAAAAAAAATTCCTCTAGAATTAATTTGTGTTTTTGCAAGACTATTTGGGCCATGTTTGAGTTTGAGTAAATTAAATTGATTAAAGTCCCAGATCCATTTTTTAAAACACTTACTTCGATTATGCTTTATATATTATACATGACTGATCTGAAGGGGAATTTAATATTTAATTGAGGACATTGCATCAAAAATGTATTTTAGATTCACGTAGAATATAATATACAGTGGAGTCAAAAGATTTAAAAATGCTTCAATTAATGTAGCCTAATGCATTTTTATCACTAATAATATTACTGCCGTAAAGAAAATCAATGGTTTTATTTATTTTTCCTATGCTGTATACTTAATAGATGACATAAACATGTTCTTTTCCAGCAGCGACCTTGCAAAACGACCTCTGCAGCTGCTGACCGCTCATCCCAGTGGCGTAAAGCTTTTAACATCGATTCAGCCGGGGAAGGGTGTGTGGTGTTACGTAATAAAGGTCGCATGAAAGACCCGATCAGACGGTTATCGGCCTGTGTGAGTATCTGCGCATGCGATCAGTGGAAGAGCCTATGACGGATCGCAGCGTGTGCAGACGGATCGCTCCAAAAATAGAGAGATTGTTGGTCCGGCGTGGGAGTCGAGCTCAATAATCAATACAAACCGCCATGCAAGAGGTCAGACGCACACACACACACACAGACTAAAGCACTGCGCGTTACGTTTGTCGTGTCCGAGAAGCGTGAAAGCTTGTGCAGTGTGTTTCTGTTTGTGAAGAGAAGCGATGAATTACGTGTGCATGTGGAAAACCAGGCTCTAGTCATTTATTATGTGTTCAATTCATCAATTCATCTGGAGAGGGTGTTTTTACTCCAGAACTCCATGTGCCGACATATATACGGGATACTCGTCACATAAAAGGGTTAGTTGACCCAAAAATGAAAATTAGCCCATAAATTACTCACCCTCAAGTCATCCTAGGTGTATATAACTTTCTTATCTCAGACGAATCCAGTCGGAGTTATATTAAAAATTGTCTTTGATCTTTCAAGCTGTTTCATGGCACTCAGCGGG